GGGTCCCACTCTTGGTGCCAACTTTGGCCCGATACAGAGCACTAATACTGGGACAACTTTGATTGCCAGTGTTGGACCACAGCTATTAATAAATATGGAGTCAAATCTAACATTAGTTATTCCCCAGTATTGGCTCGACTGTCGATTAAATTAATAGTAAATGAAATGTATAATTATAGTTTGTTTTATTAAAGCATTGCTACATATATGTATGCAAGATATGTAAAAATTTAACGGTATATTTTATTCGAGCTTTTTCGCGTCTCTATTAGCCTTTCCACCCTCGCGGTCGCCAGCTCCTGAAAAATACCGACTGGTTACCGACAGAATGGCCTTTTCATCGGCTTTCTCCAGCCTGCTTTTGATAACATCTGAAAAAAGTAATGCCAGAAATATAAGCAATGGATATTTCATATCAACAAATTACAAGTTTGATAAATAATGAAAAAAAGTTACTGGAATAAATTTTCGACACAAAAGAAATAGAAATAAGATCACAAAACTTCCGAAAAATAAATGAAAAAATTAACAGCAATGAAAAGAGTTCCATTACGTCATTATATTTCCCTATCTAAAAAAGGCATTGCGAGTTCATTGTTGTCGCTTTTCCGCGATGCCAATTGGCTCTCTCGAAACTCGATCGAGTTTCGATCTTGTTGCGAGTCGTTCTCTTCGACTCGCGGTTTCGACAGTTTGTATTTAAGAGGGTTATTTTGACAATTTATGTAATATAATGTGGAAGAACAATGGCGCGCGCGAAGCGCGCGCTTGTGTTGTTCTAGTAATATATAAATATTTACCTATCATACACGAGTACACATGCGTCGCACTAAAAATTTTTTTTTGTTACGCCATTTGGACCTTTTCTCCCAGCAGCGGAGTAAAGTTCTTGTACAGCTTTTGTTATGATGTTTCCAAGAATTTTTCGCACGGCTTCTTTCAATTCTGTGGCACTTCCCAAATAGTTAGCCATTATCACTCTCTGAAACCAATATTAACATTTTATTTAACATTCCAAAAACTGTATGAGAACGTGAAACAAAAGACAAAAGAACAAAATTTCGGGAACGTACCAATGCAATTGACTTGTCATTGTTTATCTTTATCATTGCGTCGAACTCGATAAATGCGTCATGAGTAGTTATAGGGAGTTGTATTCCTAAATTTTCTTTATAATTTTTCAGCTCCTCTCCTGGCACTGATGCTAGGTTGACGGCAATTGTACTTTTTACAGCCTTAACTTTTTTATTTAAGTCGTACAAGATGCTATTTTTAATGCCTTTTATTTCTTTCGAAAGTCTTCTGTAATCTTTCTCAATAGCGTCGTGAAGTTGGTCCATTTGGAGATTTAGTTGTTGAAGTATGTCATTACCTAAAAATTAAAATTAAAATTAATTTATTGTTACATGCAACTACAGAAAATAACTATGCAATGTAAAGCACAATTTAAAAAAATTACCGGAAATTTTATCTCTTACACGATGCACAGACTTCGAACGTCTCCGTTTTAGATCTCTCTCTCCATTGCCTCTGTCTTCAACGTTTGAAATACTTTCTTCAGAATCTGCGTGCAATCAAGTAATATAATTATAAACATATAATAATAAAAATTGTTAGAAAATTCAATATTTAGACTAACCAGATCCACCATTACGTTTTAAAACCTTTTTTTTTTGCCTGTGACGTTCGAGGTGTGCCGTTCATGGTACTGCGAATGTCGCCATCCACTCGTACCTAAAAACGGAGAAAAGTATTTTAAAGGTTCAAAAATTAACATTACAACAATCGACGTTTCATAAATACGATTAATGCACAGAATACATTAATTGTAATATAGTATCGAAATATATTAATTCTTTGTTAATTTGCTTACTTCATCTATCTTTCCATCAAAAATCTCCGAGTCACTTTGTCCATCCTCAGCGCTCATATCCGAATTCTCGCTCTGCGTGCTATCAATACGAGCTTCCTTGTAGGCTCGTTTCACTCTCCTCAAGCCTTGGTTGTAATCTCCTTGAAAATAAAATTATATTTTTGATGTTTATAAAGGATGTTTTTTCTTTAAATTGAAACACAAGGCTGACTTTCATAGTGCAATCTTAAGAATATTAATATAAACATACATACCTGCGCGTTTAACAATCTCAACTTCATACTTTTTCCAGGAAGAATCTGGTGCTTTCTGTTCCTTAACCAAAGTAGGTACATTACTGTTGTCAGTAGGCGGATAGAGGCACTTCCAATTTTTGTTGTTTATCTGTATTAGCCACGACTTTGGCACAAGATCGATTACTTTTTTCCCTTTTTTAGTTACATTGATGAATAGTACAATTGCGTATTGCTGATCGATTTTATCCATGACTAAAAAATTATATATTATTTTGTGATTATATAGAAAAAATATAATCAATAAAGTTTATAATATTTCAACAGCCCACTCGCTTCTGCAATATACATCATCTAAATTAATTATTAAAATAAATGGAAAGAAATTTGGCTCCAAAGAATTAAATCAGAATAGATATCAAAGTAATGCCACAATTACTTGTCTTGGTAACTATTCATGCCTCGGTAGTCAAATTGGCTAGGACACCCGGGATCCAGGTTCGAATCCTGGCTGAGATGTTATTTTTCGCAAAAAATTCTTTATATTGGAGATTCGGAAAGGGGGTGATCTTACAGATGTTTATTAGCATCAAAACTATTAAATTGCTTGTCAATTTAATTTGTGATGTTACGAGCTTCATGTAAAGATTGTGTTTCAAGACCGACGAATATGCGGCGCGAAGTTCGCATGGACTAGAGATTGTAATATTAAATTAGTGTTACGCACACGAACATACAGTGTTGGCTCGCATTGGCATTACTTGGATATATATTCTAATTAAATTGTTTTGCATTCGGACAGTCTATTTTTTATATATTTATATTTATTATGGTTATTGTCAGGTTTAACAGTAGGGATAAGCAATGGAATGTGAACACACTATTATAAATGGACATGCATGCTTGTATATTTCACGACGTGAATACAGCGAGCGAGAGTCGGGCTACTGCCGTGGTAGTGGGCCTTCTTCCCTAAGCGTGACGTCATAGCGCCACGTGATCTACAAGTACAATTAGAACGCAACAGATGACGCGCGGAGCGCGTCTGGATCACATCGATCTATTCTAACACCCTCTCTATCGATGTAAATCCAAAACAAAAAATAATACGGTACTAATCCTAGTCCGTTTAGTGACACGTTCCCTCTTTTGTTCTCTATATTAAATTTAGCATATTGATTGCTCTATCGTGTTTAATTCTGGGTAACGCTTTCCTGAAAATGTCCGCGAGCATTGAATCAGTTCTTAAATAAACGACTTTAATCTCATTTTTTTCAACTAGATCTCGCGTGAAGTGATACTTATGTCTATGTGCTTACTTCTTTTGTGAAACACCGCGTTTTTTGCGAGCTCTATCGCACTTTGATTGCCACAGAACACATGCACTGGTTTCTCCACGAGATTGTAGAACTGCATGTGATTTAATAGTCTTGTCAGATACACGACCTCCTTCGATACTTCGGCCAGGGCGATGTATTCCGCCTCCATTGTTGATAACGATACTGTCGGTTGTTTCCTCGATTTCCAGCTGATTGCACCTCCAGCCAGGGTTAAAACATTTCCCGAGCACGATCGCCTATCTTCAATGTTGCCGCCCCAATCAGAATCCGTGTATGCGTTCATCTTCTGTTTGTTTCTCTCATATTTGATACCGTAGGTTGTCGATCCTTTGAGGTATCGTAGAACTCGTTTCGCCAAGAGCCAATGTTCTACTCCAGGGTCGGAACAAAATCTGCTCAGTGTGTTTGCGGCGTAAGCTATGTCCGGTCTGGTCGCATTTGCCAAATAGATTAGGCCTCCGATGAGTTCTCGATATGGTCGATTACTCATTTGCTCTCTTTCTTCATCATTTTTCGGTCCTAAGTCCTTTGTGATTTTTGTGTTCGATTCAATCGGTGTGGATACAGTTTTGGAGGAACTCATATTGAACTTTTCTAACAAATCATTCATATTTTTCTTGGGATAATTTGATACGTCCAGTTTCTCCCTCTCTTTCGATATGAATTCCTAAAATGTCTGTGATATGACCTAAGTCGAGGATTTCGAATTCTGACCTCAGTTTTTGTTTCGTAATACTTAATTCTTTCAAGTCCTTTGATGCTAGGATGAGATCGTCTACGTATATTATCATTATGACGCGTTTCTCGTTTTTGCCGAATATGTATACACACGGGTCGGCTTCGTTTTTGCGCCCTCCTTGTTGGATCACGAACTCGTCCAGTCGTCTGTACCATTCGCGTCCCGATTGTTTAAGTCCATAGAGTGGTTTATGCAGTTTGCATATCATATCGGGTTTATTTTTCTCGAACCTTTCTGGTTGTTCCATAAAAACTTCGTCAGATAGATTTCCTTGTATATAGGCGGACACTACGTCCATTTGATGTACGTGCATTTCTTCTTCGACCGCTGCTGCCAGGAGAGTTCGAATAGTTTCGTAGCGGGCAACTGGTGCGAATATTTCCTCGTAGTCGATTCCGGCTTTTTGAATGTGACCTCGAGCTACCAGTCGAGCTTTGTATTTCTCGACTTGTCCCGTTGAGTTCCTTTTTGTTTTGAAAACCCATTTAGTTGTGAGGATCTTTTTGTTTACTGGACGGGGAACCAAAGACCATGTTTCGTTTCTTTTTAGGGTTTCAAATTCTTTTTCCATTGCTTCTAGTCACAAGTTCGCATCTTCTCGTTGAAGTGCTTCGTTGACCGTCGTTGGATCATTCCGTTCCGTTGTTTTGCCCTCTATTTTAGGGCTTCGAGTCTAGATTTTTGTTGGTCGTCCAGGGCCTCCAGCTCGAAGAATCCTTGGTCTGCCTGGACCACGTTTGATAGTATCTTCTTCTGCCTCTTTCCTTTGTCCTCTCGTTGATCGTGTCTTCCGTTTTGCTCGTCGTCTTCGTCGCCGTCGTCGGTGTCCTCGTCCTCTTCATTGTCGTTTGGTTTCTCTTCGCTGCCGCTTCCTTGATCGAAATTTAGGGATGCGTCGCTCGTGACCTCTTTGTCGATTGCTTCGA